TACCCAGAATAAAACTTTGTCGGTCTTAAAGGTGCCCTTGGACTCAAACTTTGTTTTCCATCGTCTTATGTTGTGGTTTGCTGTATTATGGGAAGTCTCTCAAAACCAAGAACAAGACAACGTTGGGAAAACCTTTCTGGAAGCAAAGCAGAATTGCATCAAGAAATAACTGAGCTCCTCTATGAGAACAGGAATTGGCTGAATGGAAGGTTAACTCCCTCAGTATTTTCATTTTTTTTAAAGTCAATGTTCAGATCAGCCACAAAAATTAAAAAAAAGACAGACTCAGGAGGGTACCCTTCTCTCCTGGGCCCCACACGAGTGACCTACTTCTCTTCCCGTCCATGTCGGCATGGGTTTTCCGCGTGAGGATGCCGTGCTTGTAGGTGATGGCATTCTGGGCCTGGGGAACGTCCAGGAAAGGGTTGCTTCCGTCCACTATCCTGGGCGCTTTCTTGGCACCGGCACCAAATTTATCATCAACCAGTTCTGACAGCGATTTTCTGAGTTCATCTTCATCCCTTGGAAAGAAAGCAAATAATTTTTAAAAAATCACAGTGCCAGGGAGAAATCTGCTTTTGAAAATGTCTTCTCTCTCTCTCTCTCTTTCTCTCTCTCTCTCTCTCTCTCTCTGTATGTTTAGCACAAATGCCGAGTCTCTCTCTCTTAGCATTAACAACCTGGCCTCCACAGATACCATTTATTACAGGAGTACTGGAAGACCTGAAATGTGGAATCGTATGGCATTGTCTATCCCAGGGGACTCCAACACGATGCCTGTAGGCACCGTGGCACCTGCCAGCGCCTTTCCTGGTGCCCACCCACGGGCCTGTAGCTACAGGGGGCATCTCGGGGCGAGGCCCCACAACTGGAGAGCGACCCCGGGGTCCTCCGAGTATAGCCTGACCTGAGTGCCTGGGACATCCGATGGAGATCAAGAAGCAGACCGATGCCGAGGAAGCATGCTAGCACTTTCATATGTTGTATTGCTATGGTTTTAAATCTGTGCTTTATTGGATTTTATATTCTGCATTGTGTTATTATATGGTATTGTGTACATTGTTGTGTGAGCCGCCCTGAGCCGGCTTTGCTGGGAGGGCGGGGTAAAAATCTAATGAAATAAATAAAAAAATAAATGTATTTATTTATTATTTATTGTTTGCATTTATGTCCTGCTTATCCCGCGGGCGGGCTCAGGGCGGGTGACACCGTTGAAATAAATTCAATTTCAGTTTAAAACATTAAACATTAAAACACAATAAAACATGGTAACAATTAAAACAGTGGGTACAGCTTGGAAGAGCATAACTTGGCTATAAAATTCTGGCCTGATGGTATGATGGGTTAAAGGCCAGTTTTCGGTGGCCAGTAGACAGGTGACAGACTGGTGACAGCAATCTCGGGGGGGCGCAGATGGCCGCCCGCTACCTCAGCCAAGGGCCTGGCGGAAGAGCTCCGTCTTGCAGGCCCTGCAGGATTGAAGAAGACCCCACATGGCCCTGGTCTCAACAGGGAGCATGTTCCACCAGGCTGGGGCCAGGACAGAAAAAGCCCTGGCCCTGGTCAAGGCAAGACGGGCGTCCCTCGGGCCAAGGACCACTTCCTGTCAAGGCCCCGCAACTTCCCATCCAGCTGTCAGGTTCAACAGCATGTAAATCTTCACACACGTTTCCAGGGAATCGTTATGCTTTATTAGACTACAGGTCTGTTGCTATGATCTACAGGTACATTGTTGGGAATGACAATGGGGGCGGAAGCATCTCTACATATACTATGATGCTGCAATGTGCTAAGCCAATGAAATTCAAGCGCGCGGGCGGGAATTCTCCCGGCGGGAGGTTACATCATGAACGGGAGGCTCTCCGTGCACCATGAGAGCAGAAATATTCACACCAGCAGTGGAACGCAAGCCCTCCCTCCTCCTCAAGGTTATTCAAATAACCCAGTCTGGCAGCGCCGGTTCGTACGGTCTCAAGAGCGCCTCCCGTTAGCTGTTTACAGCAAGCGAGCTAAGCAAGCAAGCAAGCATGCGCACTCACGCCGCAGTCAGGAAGGAACGAACACAAGCGAAACATGGCAGCTGACATTCTGCCCCCTCAAAATTAAATCAACCCCCTCCTGGAGCGGCCAGGAGACCTCCCGGTTTCCCCGGGAAATGGCCGTGGAATTTCCGCAGAAGGTCAGGGGCCCAAAAATCCTTCACTTCCACCAGGGTGTCACGGCCTTCTCCTCCTGGGAGGGAAAGCTCCAGCCAATGGCCTCTGGGGAGGGAGGCGGACTAGATGCTCGCAGCAGGAGGGGGACTCTAACTTGCCGGTGGCTGGAGCAGAGACCAGCACAGTGCAGTGCGCCCCACTTTCTTTAATTAAATTACCTTTAATTCAATTGGCCGGTGCCCCCTAAGAAGTTTAAATGCCCCGACTTTTAAAAAATCCTGGTTACGGGCCTGCCCACCGGGTGCTTTTGGAAAGCAGGAGGGTCCACGTGGGGCATTTGCCCAGCAGGACTTTGGACTGGCTGTGCAGATCTAAAGGCATCCTATTAAACAGTGCTTCTACCTGAAATGTGGAGTGGTTACTATTAGAGTTAGGTATAAATCCACTCCCTGACATTCTGTGGTTAGCTCCGCCTTCTGGGGCAGCCATTTTGTGATTGGCTCCACCCAGGGCTTTTTTTTTAATTTTGAAAAGGAGGTGCCGGAACTCTCAAGAGGAAAACGAAGTTTTCAGTTTGTATATTGAAAACTCATGCACTTTTAAGCATTTTTAAAAAGAATTTTGTTGAAGGGGTTCCAGAACTCCGTTCTGGCACATTCCCCCAGAAAAAAAGCCCTGGCTCCACCTCCCGGGGCAGTCATTTTGTGATTGGGTCCACCAGCCTGTGTCAGAATCCACACGTGCCTGCAGGTTCAAAAAAGGTTGGGGACTCCGGTCTCTTCTCACCAGATCTCAAAAGCTAAGCAGGGTCAGTACCTGGTTGGAGGACCACTAAGGAAGACTCTGAAGAGTCTTCTCACTCGCCTCTAAAGCTTGGGGGGCCATCGTGGCGCGTGCGCGCTATGCGCATGTGCATGTATCCCAAAACGGGACCTACTCCCCCCCCCGCTGCAATCAGTAAGCGACCTGGCAACCCTAGTTGAGTCATTAACACCTTTTTAAAGTACTGCAGTGGCCCTGTGCTGCCCCAGTCAGCATTTAACTGTAGTTAAGTAGAACTTCCATATATCCTTAAGAGCAGCTTGCCCCTGGGAATTGTAGTCTTTAGTTAGGCATCCCAATGCATCCCTGCGACTGGCTGATTAACAGTCCTTTCCTACACCCAGAGGCACGAGGATTTGAGTTTACAGCTCTCTTCCCGTTTCTTTGTCTACTCTTTAAGTGGCAAGGAGGTGGGAGCACGCAATCCTTTTCACCATGAGCCAGTGAACTGAATTAGATCACAAAGATGTGAGTAAGAACTCTTATGAATGCATGTGGAACTTAATAATAAAAATGGCCCCGCTGGGCAGGAAAGGACGGCACACCTCTGTTCTCAGGGTGGTTTGGCCTCAGCCCGCCTTCTTCCAGAAACAAACACAGGGTGCCTCTTATGCTGGGCATCTGGGAGCTGACCCAGGTCTACAGAGCACACCCCTCGTGCCATTTGCCCAACCGAGCTGCTGGTCGAAGAGGTTGAACCCGGCTTCCTCCACACACACTTAGGGTGAGTTCACCCTTCCCACATCAGTGTGTTCTTTTTTTGTGCTACTGGCAGAACACACCAAGGGAGGCATACTGCTGTGGGAGGACCGTGAGTCTCCCTGAAGAGACGTCATGGAACGGAAGCGCAGGGAGAGACGCCAAGACTCGCTTTGTCGGTGCTGTTGGGCAGCATCTGAAGCCCGTCATAGAGCTGATTCAAACGCAAGAAGCACAGCTGCTTCCCAGAGGCGGTTTCTGGTTCTAATGCATCTTTTATGCACATGGGACTACAAGGGTGTGGTTCAGAGGTCATTTCGGGGGGGATCGTGGGGGATCGCAGTTCCCCCGGGTGAGGTGCGGGGGTGGGGCACATGACGAAGCCCCGCCCCCTGCTTCCGACCGCCCCGCTTCCGGCCCTCATTCAGCCAGGAGGAGGCAGGAGAAGAGGGAGGGTAAGTTGCTTCCTCCCTGCCTCTCCCCACCCCTGCCTGCCTGGGGCCAGGGAGGGCCTTCGCGGGGCTTCCTTGCACTCGCGCTGGCCTTGCAGGTCCACCGCCGGGCCCCTCATGGGGCTCAGCAGTGGAGCTGCAAGGCCGCCGGCGGCAGCCGGAACCGTTGGGGGCGGGTGTGTGTGGCCTTATGACACACTTCCGGTGATGTCAGGTGGTGTGGCCTTATGAAACACTTCCGGTGATGTCAGGGGTGTGTGGCATATACTAATGAGTTATGCTAATGAGTTCCCCTAGCTCTTTTTCTACGAAACGACCCCTGGTGTGGTTCATACACATACCGCATGCCATTAGGCAAGAAACCTTTGAAGGTTCACGAGGAGCCCATCTGCCTTAGTATTTTTATTTTAATAACATTTCTTATTCCGATGCTGGCATGAGTTTATGTATGTCACCCCATGTTCAGATACACTTTCTCTGAACGACCTTACCAGGGGTCACTTCGTAGAAAAAGAGGCGCAGGAGCTCATTAGCACAACTCATTAGCATACCTTATTTGCATATGCCACACCCCCTGACATCACCGGAAGTGTGTCAGAAGGCAACACACCCCACCCCCAACGGTCCCAGCCACCACCACCGGCCTTGCAGCTCCACTGCCGAGCCCCATGAGGGGCCAGAATTGGACCATTTAATAAGTCTTTGTATTCCTTACTTATTTTTGGTAGTGGAATCTCCTTTAAATATGTTTTAATCTTCTCAAGATCAACTCTAGTTGTTTGGAATAGTTTAGCATAATACTTGAAGAAACATCTCTTTATTCCATTAGGATCAACGAACTCCTTTCCATCTTCTATTATTTTGGTTATCATTCTTCTCTCTCTTCTAGCCTTAAGTTGCCAAGCTAAGGGGGGGGGGTTTGAGCATGCGCAAAAATCGCCATTCTCTGAATGGCTGCCTATGCGCATGCTCAAACTGTGCTTAAAAAAAAAAAAACACGCCGACGCCCGCAGCGTGTAAGCGGGCGTCCACCGAAGGGATCCGCAGACAGGAGGTAAGTGTGATCGCGTTTCTGCCAGCATAAACTGCACCGGTTCCAACCGGTGCAGTCTATGCCGGCAGAAACGCCCCGTCTGAACGCACCCATGGTGTATAAAAGCCTTCAAACCAGTATTATAGGAGAAAATTCAATCCTATTATAATCATTCACAGCCGGGCACCCGATCAGCAAAGGAACAAACTCTTCAATAGTCGGTAAGACTCTAAATCCGGAGTCTTCGTCCTGTCTATGTACCATTTATGGACTTGCACTTTTTTAATCTATGTACCATTTATGGATTTGCACTACTCATGGACCTGTACATTGTATGATGTAAATTTATTTTACTGATATATGTGGTCCTCTGTTACTCTTGTGGAGCTGCGGTGGCTCAAGTGGTTAAGACGCTGAACTGCAGGCTGTGGAAGGTCAGTAGTTCAGCAGTTCGAGACCCGAGTGTGCCGCATGATGGAGTGAGCTCCCGTCTCTGGTTCCAGCTCCTGCCAACCTAGCAGTTCGAAAGCAAGAAATTGCAAGTAGATAAATAGGTACCACTTCGGTGGGAAGGTAACAGCGTTCCGTGCGCCTTGGTGTTTAGTCATGCCGGCCACATGACCACGGAAACGTCTTCGGACAGCGCTGGCTCTTCAGCTTTGAAACGGAGATGAGCACCGCAACCCTAGAGTCGGACTCGACTGGCTTTCGAGCAAGGGAACCCTTGACCTTTTACTCTTATATAAACTACCTCACATGACTTTTGAGCAATTGTGGTCTGTGTTATTTGTACAGTATTTGCTTGCTTTCTGTGACTTTGCATACTGTGATATCACATTGGTTTATGGTTTACCAGCCCAAGCCATTAGCTGTGGGTATGGAGGACAGCAAGGGCCTTTGGCCAGCCCTGTGCAAACCCAGGTGGGATGGGGCGAGGCAAGAAAGGAGCTTGGAGAGCGACAAGCTCTCCTAGGGAGAAGGAAGGGGCAAGGCTGGCCGGGGCTTGGCTGGCAGGGGTGGAGCCCCAGGGATAAAAAGGGAGATGTCAGGAGGGAGAGGGGAGAGGAAGGAAGGCTGGCTGGGAAAGGCTGGGAGGGCGCAGAGAAGGGAGGAAGAGAAGCCTAAAGAAGGAGCTGGGGCTTGGGGCAAGATATGGTGACCCCAGTGGGAAAGAGATGTTCAAAGGTGGTTGGTATGCCTTGGTGGCCTCCAGGGGTCATTTCCTGCAGGAGCGCACAGGAGCGGAGCTCCGGCAGTAAAGAGCCCAGGGGGGCGGGCACATGCAACAAGCCCCGCCCCCTGCTCCCAGCAGCCCTCAGTCAGAGCAAGAAGCAGCCAGGTAAGTTGCAGAGCCCCCCCCCCCGCCCCCCGCCGCCCAACCCACACAA